ATTGGGTTCAGGTCCGGTGACTGTGGAGGCCAGGTCATCAGGCCCAGCACCCACCACTCTCCTTATTGGTGAAACAGCCCTTACACAGCCTGGTGTGAATCTACAGTCAATAGTCATGAAAAGAAAGGAAACTCATTGAATGAGAAAGTGTGTCCAAATTTGTGGTCTGCTCTGTATATATGTGTGTGTGTGTGTGTGTGTGTGTGTATATATATGTATATGTATGTATAATATATATATATATATATATATATTACACATTTTGCTTTTTCCAATGATTTGACAATGTATATATTTCAGGAAAATGCTGTTCCAATCTGCTATAAGATAATTTACCTTTTCTGCCTCAGGCCTCCTTAAATGGAGTGGGACAGACGGACGGCCTGCGCCCGGACAGCCTCATCCAAACTCCATCACCTCCATAATGCTGCTGTATTCATGACAATAGCCGCACTCTTCATCTGACTACGCGGCCTCATCTGTCACCGCAGACCTTTCGACTGCTACCATGGACGGGGAAGAGGAGGTCTCTCACATGAGAGATGACTTGGACAGTGACTTTAACAGCATTATTGAAAGAAAAAAAAGGGAAGCAAAAGGAAGGTGTTTAAGGATTGAAGGAGAAGATGGCTACGTATTCCAATCCTACAGCTTGCACTCTCACAGGAGCTCAGCCACAAAGGAGGTTCCTTCTAGTCAATCTACTACACTGGATACAAACTCTATGTCTCTTAATTTATCTCAGGTGAAGAAAGAAAATGCTGACACTGAGATTAAAGAGTGTGAAAACTATAAAAATGGCAATGAAGAAAATCCACATGAACTAAATGGGAGTGAAGACATTCCCATTGATGAAAGTTTAGCTTTCAGCAGCTCCGTTGACTGCAGCTCAAAAGACTGTGATGAATATTCTACTTTACTAAGTGGATACTCCAGTACACTTTATGATGTTGCTATGGATGCTGTAACACACAGTCTTTTATCTGCAAAAAGTCCGTCAAATCCAAGGAAAAAGTCCCCTGCTTGGAATCACTTTTGCATATCTCCACGAGACAGTACCAAAGCAATCTGTTTATACTGTATGAAAGAGTTCAGCCGAGGTAAAAATGAGAAGGACCTGAGTACGAGTTGTTTGATGAGGCATGTACGAAGGGCTCACCCCACTGTGCTTGTACAAGATGGCACAGACGCATCGGTGGCTAGTATCACCAACTCTCTCACCTCACCATTGATACCTCTCTCTCCAAACTCGCCAAAAAATGGAGACTTGACTAATGATGTCATTACTCCTGCCTCAGAAATCCCTTCATTGTCCACCTCTGAAGTTGAAAATTCAGACCTGTCACCCAAAGAAGTGTTTCCCAAAATTGAACCAAAACTAGAACCAAAACTAGAACCGATATTTACCAATGTTGACTCTTTCAGCTCCTTACTCTTAGCCTCACATTCCAATGACAATAGTGAAGAGCTGTCAGATGGAGGACAAGATAATTTTCTGGGCACCACCAAATGTGCAAGCACACGTCGCAGATCTGCTGTATGGAAACACTTCTACCTGTCACCTACAGATAGCTCCAAAGCAGTGTGTATTCATTGCATGAATGAATTTAGCAGGGGAAAAAATGGTAAGGATCTTGGAACAAGTTGCCTCATACGACACATGTGGAGGGCCCACAAAGAGGTAGTTATTGAGGAAAATGGACAAGGCAATCACATTCCCCCTCCATACACAACCCCCCCATCCCTTTTGTCTCGAACTCGATTAAGTGATACACTGGACCTCAAAACTTCACCCCTGCGTCCATCCTCACCAGAAACTACATCTGATGTATCCCATAGTTTCAGTATCAAAGAGGAGTCTGACGATGTCCCAGTCCCTTCAGGACAGGAGTCTTCTCTCGATATGTCTATACATGTCCAAGACAACAGTACTTCCCATAATTCTTCACCCTATGATCTGTCAGAAGGGACAAGCACAGAGGACCACTCAATTTTTCAGCAAAACAAAAAAATAATGAAAAGGGTGAAGTCAGAAGTTTGGCACCATTTCATAGTATCACCTGTCGATCAGTTAAAAGCACTGTGCAGATATTGTCCGTGTGTTATCAGTCGGGGTAAACGGGGTGACTTTGGTACAAGCTGTTTAATGAGGCATCTTATGAGACGCCATCCGGATGTACTCAAAAACACAAAAGTTGAGGACAAAGAAACCTTCCCGAACCCCTTTGCCTGCCTCATCCCTACAGATGAGCTTTCTTTACAAGATATAAGTTCAGTTAAAAGCCCTCCTAAAAAAGACAAAAAGTCTCCGGGGTTAAGTAAGAAAACCTCTAAACTGTGGAATCATTTCTCAATTTCTTTGACTGACCCTACTAAAGTGATTTGCTTGCACTGTAACCGCATAATGAGCAGAGGGAAAAAAACAACAAACCTAGGAACGAGCTGTTTATTCAGGCACATGCAGAGGTTTCACGCAGATGTTCTTGAAACTAAAAAGACTTCTATCTCAGGTGATGAAATGGTTGTAAAACATGACCGCACATTGGAACCAAACAAGGATGCGGATGGTGAACGCCATCTGGTTTCCAAAAAAATCACTAGACTATTAGCAGAAATGATTGCACTGGATCTGCAGCCCTCAGCTATAGTGGAGAATGCAGGATTGATCAGACTACTTGAGTTCCTCCAGCCCCAGTATTCACTACCGCCCTCTTCGTACTTTACCAGCACTGCCATACCTGACATGTATGAGAAGGTAAAGGACGTGGTGCTGACTCACCTTAAAGAAGCTGAAGGTGGTGTCGTGCACTTCACCACCAGTATTTGGGTCAGTAGCCAGACAAGGGAATATCTGACTCTTAACGCCCACTGGGCATCGTACGAGTCCAGGATTAAACCTCAGGGTCAGGACTTTCACTGTTCCGCTCTTCTCAGTGTCTCACAAATTGACTGTGATACAGATCTACATGACATCCCAAAGCAGCTGGAGCATCTGTGGGACACTTGGATCACCACATCAGGACTGAAAAGAGGGTTCATTCTAACTGACAACAACATTATTGGTAACACATTAGAGGACTATGGCCATGCTACCATGCAGTGTTTTGGACATACAATTGACCTCATTGTTAATGAAGCCATAAAGAGTCAAAGAATGGTTCAAAACCTCCTCAGTATAGCCCGAAAGATCTGTGAACGTGTTCATCGTTCAGCAAAGGCCAAGGAAAAACTGACTGAACTGCAGAACGTGTACGAGCTACCTGAGAATCAGCTGATCCAGGATGTCCCCTCAAAATGGCGGACATCATTGTTAATGCTGGAGCGGATGGTGGAACAGCGACAAGCCATTGATGAACTGTCCATTGTGTGCAATTTCAGGGAAATAATCAGCTGTGACCAGTGGGAGGTGATGCTGTCTGTCTGCAATGCACTGAAACCTTTTGATGTTGCCAGTAAAGAAATGGTCACTCATGCTGCCACTCTGGGACAAGTTATCCCACTCATACACATCCTGAATAGAAAAATTGATCTTCTGTTTGATGAGACTGTAGGTATTGACAATATGCTGAAATCTCTCAAAGAGGCAATGGTCAGTAGAATGTCCCCAATGCTGCATGACTCTCGCTACATCTGGGCCACCATGTTAGACCCACGATACAAAACTTCACTGTTCACAGAGGAAGAGGCTGAGTGTCGTAAGCAAGACTTGATCCGTGAGCTGGACTTGGACTGTGCTACCTCAGATGAAAGAAATTCCCATTTCGCCAATGGCTACGACGAGTCTAACAGAGCAAAAAAAGACAACATATGGTCTTTTATGAATGACGTCAGAAAAAACAAACATTTGGAGAAACCAAAGTCTTCCGAGCTGGCAGTACATGAGTACCTTGAGGAGGACATTCTTGATCAGAACTGTGATCCACTCAACTATTGGAATCATAAAAAGGTGGCATGGCCCAATCTAGCTCAAGTAGCAGCCCGTTATGTTGGCTGTCCCCCCAGCATAATCCCAGCAGAAACACTGTTCCACACATCAAGTGTTAACTGTGTCCTCAATCAACCTAGGCCTCTTCTAGAAAATATGGAGGGTCTGCTCTTTCTCAAGGTTAACCTGCCAATGATTTATTTTCAATACTGATCGTATTCTAGCATTAGTAACCCTTTAAACCCAGGACCAAGCCACGTAGCTGTGAAATTTTAATTGTACAATTTCAATTTAAACTTTTTCTCAATGCAAAATGACAGGCTTTGAGGGTTGTCTTATACTACTGTTAAACACTTTGAAACTTAGTGAGAAGTGTATCAGGGAGGGAGGGGATTTCTAGCTATTGGGGTTTGATAAATGATACTTGTTAAGAAAACATTTTGTCTTGTCTTCTCTCTCTCCTTGTGCCTTACCAAAAATACTACTTCAGGTCAAAATGCTGTGCATATTGTTTCTTTACATTGTTGATCCGATCCCATTTGAGGATTTTTTATCACTGAATTATAAACATATTTTTTTCTTAACTTTGACCCAAATAAATGCTGTGACTGAAAGATGTGTTAAGTTAATATTTAATTTCATTGTGAATTGTGGCTTGTGGTAGTGTAATTTAGAAATAGAATTTTCTATTTTAATTAACTTGCTGAAATGTCATTGCTGTATTTTGTAAGTATATGATTTGTCTTTATACAAATTGTCTTAAGCACAATTTTTTAAGTTCATGTCTGGGATTAAATTATGGGTTTCATAATGAATATACAATGTACTGTACATTTTGAACAAATAAATTAAGAACCTAATTTGATGTTTTACTATTAAAATGGGAACCAGAGAGATTGCAGTTTGTAAATAAAGATTTTCCTGATCCATACTTTTTATAGGTCTAATGTAGTTTCCAAATGGCAGAATACACTGTTTTTCATAATGTTTATTGTAAAATTTACAAAAAAATTGAAGAGTTTACCATGAAAGATAGGTCTTCACAGTATCTATTTTCCTGAAATTTACTCCCATGTCAGTTGTCTTTGGTCCGCTCCATCAGCACAATCTTGTTTTGTAGCAGAACATTTACCGGTGGAACATGGAACAAATCCAGCATTGTTTTACTGTAGCCGTCAATGAAAGCGAGAGGTTGATGAGTGTCTTGGAGTTGTTGGATTTTGGTAACGTTTGCCTCCATTATTAGATGTGTGTACAGCTTGATATCCTGATTTGTTGGGCTCATATCTTCACGTTTGTCATATCTGTAATAATTTACGGGGGAAATGTTCAGATATATAACTGACAGAACTAAAACAATTTATAAGAAACTGACCTCCAGTTTTTGTGCAGCTCTAAGAACCGTGATACCCCAGTTTCAGCCGCAAAGGAATCTATATGGACAATGACATCTGTACAAAAAAATAAAAAATTGGAGTTGATATAAGTAGAAAGACATTTTCAGGTCGGTTATTCTATTGGCTCGTTGCAATAGAAGTTTATTGCAAGTGTAATTTTAGACGGTGAAAAAAACTTTTTAAACAAAGTATTTAAATACACACAAGTTTTAATATACATTGACCTGCGTCGGATGAGACTAGTCTGTGCAGTTGTAGCATTGCCTTGCCTCCTGGGTAGTTGTGATGAGAAACATAGAGGCAGAAAGCAGAGTATCCTGTGTTCACCAGCAGATGACCAACAACAAAAGCCGACCCCAATTTGTACATCCACGATTTTTGATAGTTTGAAATACTAAAAGAGAAAGAATTATGACATATTACTTAGAATTGTGACATTTTTAAGTTAAGTTTTAAATGTCCTTTTGGAAACTGCTTACATGAATGAGCATCCTCGAGCAGCCACCAAGCTGAGTACTGGGAAGGTGTAGATTATAAAACGCAGCTCTTTATGCGGCAGCAGAGAATATAAAAGTATAAATCCTACTGTGGGAAGGGAAATAATCCTCATCCGCCGATCAAGGAGGCCCACAGGGACAAAAAACAAGGTACACCCAAGGGCACGAGGTACAGCGGAGTAAAAATACCAAAGAAAGGGTAAGGTTTACAGAGAGACCAGTCAAGGATAACACAACACTTCTAAAAGATTTCAAGAGTAAAAACAAAGTGAAAGGATATTCCCCAGTTTGAACTTTTGTTGAGGACGGTGTTGTACCACAAAACCTGACTTTCAGGCCATATAGGTTTTCCCCAAAAGAATGTATCAACTGCAACAGTCAGACCTACGATAAAGACACATACAATTTGTGTTTGTGATAGTTATGTTGAAAATATTACATGCTTTACTTACCTAAGGAAAGTATGCCAGCTGGTAAGGCAACAGAAATAAGCTTAAATATTCCAAGCCTTCTGCTCAATAAAGACATCAATAACATTTGACCCATTAAGAGGGACAGCTCTGACCGAAAAACAATTATAACAAAAGCAGAGAGGCGAATAAAGCTGTTGTATTTTTGTGCCATCCAAGATGAGAAGGCTACAAGAACTGCCAAATAAACATGACAAAATGTTAGTACATAACAAACCAAATCAAACTGTATTCATACTCATATACTTACCAAAAGGTAGTGCAAAGATATTGGGGAGGGTCCTGGTGCTGTAAAACATGAAATGGAACTGGGAGGCACAAGTCAGACAGAAGAGCCCGGCCACTGTGGAGCCAAACTGCCTCCTCACCTCTCTTTGCATGTACCAAAGTGCACCAATAACACACACTCCCAAAGACACACGTACTGTGCACAAACCAAAACAGAAAATGCAATAATGTACATTTAGTTACAGAATACAATTAATTAAACCAGCAATGTACCTGCCAACTGTGCACAAATCTTTGGGGCGTTCATTTGGTGAAACAGAAAAGCAACAGGAGAGCTGAGACCAGACAAAAACAAGGGCCCAAGGAAGGTCCGTGGAACCACACCTGGGAACTCATGATGGTCGTACTGAAACAAGATAAGATGGCATTAGTGGTATAAGTGTTAATAATACTATCAATAGGTCTATCTGGCGAAACATATCCATGATATGTTATGCAATGGATTTATTATAAATAATCAGACTATAGCTTACACATTCTGCAATTACTTTACAACAATTCTGCGTTCCCCTACCTTTTCAAACTCAAATCTGTGAAACAAAATGTCATGCACCGCTTGTAAATTAAAGCTCTCTTCTACTTTTGTGAAAGGGCATATGAATAAATGAAGCAAAGATATGAAAAGTAATAAGAAGAGCAGTGACAACCCCCAAACACCCTTTTTTTCCGCCATGACAGCTCCAGTATGACGTCACTTCTGTGAATAACAGGAAGTTGTATTCACGTCTAAAAAGCTTAATTTTGAAAATAGTAAATGAGTAAATATATAAGTTACCAACTATGTTTTAAATTTTACCCCATGATTTAAATATATATTTGTCTGGCTATTTCCACGTCACATGTGACATTTATTCGTTTAGTCCCGGGCGTGGCGTGTCCTAATTGGTCATATTTTTGATTGACAGGCATTTGAGCCAATCAGCATCAGCCACAATTCGTCTGTGAGGCTGACGCGGAAAACTAAAACCGCATCCCATATTTTTTATAAAGCCGGTGCCATGTAAATACCACCGTGTCGTGCTTTGCATGTGTTGTGCCCAATTAATATGAACGACTGGAGAAGGTAGCTTAGATGTTTGTGAGGTATACGGCGTTGTAGTGGCTTATGTTTTCCGGATGGTTGTGCCCTCTGCGATCTGAGCTGAAATGCTACTGTCCCTGGGTCCAAACCTGCGGCTTTTGCGGCTACTATTGTGTATAACTATTGTTTTAAATGTTCAAATCACAAATGGTAAGAAAAACTTGAAAAGTGCATGTTCGACATGTCGACAAATTACCGACAACTTCAACAAGGTGAGGCTCGAAACATGTTCGTTCTTTGATGTTGAGTTGTTCAGCAACACGTTTGACTTAGTCCAATTTCTCATTCTTTACTTTTCTCTTCTCAGGGCTTTGATAAAACATCGAACCAGAACTTTGGCGGAGGGAACACTGCCTGGGAGGAAAGGACACTATCTAAATATGAAACGAGGTTAGTGGAGACGTCGGGAAAGTAATTTCATTGCTATCATTACACATCTAAATAGATCGATCCATACGCCTGTAGACCATTCAGTGAGGAGGCTTGTTCTGTGTGTTTAAATCAAATAAATGGTCACTGAATAATTTGGTTTGATTTGCATAGGTTACCAACTTCATGAGTCAAGTTAAGGTATATAGAAGAATGTAAATCAGATATGCACACCTTTTCTTTGCCCCTTTTCCTCAGATGTTCTATCTCATTATATCATAATCCAATTAAATAGATAATGTATACAAATGTGTGTGCAAATAGTATATAAAGTATGAAAATGATTAGACACTTTAACTTTGCCTTATGACTTAAATAGGGGGACAGACTGAGATGTGTGAATGTTCTCTCCAATGTTACCACAATTAATCTGTATATCAATCGGCCAAAATCAATGTTGTGTCTGTTTCAGTGAGATTCGTCTGATGGAGATTATAGAGGGGTTGTGTGACAGCAGCAGTTTTGACTGCAATCAAATGCTAGAGGAGCATGAAGACCATTTAGAAACTTGGTGGTTCAAGAGGTAAGGGGAGCGACAAATTACAGAAATTGGAGACACGCAACAAGTTTAAAATCAAACACGCCTGAAGTTAGCGACCAGTGGTTTTAGTAATTTTAAAGGAATGTAAGTACAAAAATAAAATCCCATCTAAAAAATATAGTTATTTTACGTTTATTGAAAGTTGACACAAGTAACGGTCAACTGAGAAGTGAAAGCAAAAAAACACATGATTATGTTTTTGGTTTTTTTGTGGAAAACCGAGAAGTTAGGCATGCACAAGTATTCTTACAACATTAATACTTTGTGGAACCCCTTTTGGTTGCGATAATGGGAGCAAGTCTTTTGGGGTATGACTCCAGAAGATTTGCACATCTAGAGACAGATTTTCCCATTCCTCTTTACAAAAGTTTAGGTCTTTTCAAAGATTCTTTTGATTTTTGATCTTGACTTTGACTGGGCCGTTCTAACACATAATTATGTTTTCTTTTAAATAATTCCATTGTAGATTTAGCTTTTTGTTAAGGCAGGTGAATCTTTACCCTCGCCTCAATTCTCTTGCTGACTTTAGCAGGTTTTCCTCCAAAATGTCCTTGTATTTGGCTCCATCCATCTTCCCAGCTATTCTTACAATATCTTCCCAGTCTCCACTGAAGAAAAGCAGCCCCATCGCATGATGCTCCCCCCACCATTTTTTATGTTTGGGATGGTGCACTCAGGACGATGAGCAGTGTTAGGTTTGTGTCATACTGTACATAACATTTTGCATTGGGGCCAAAAAGGACATGTTTTGTCTCATCTGACCAAAGCACTTTCTTCCACATGGCAGCTGTGTCCTCCATTAAACTTCTGTCAAATTTTAAGCAGGATTTCTTGTTCTCCTTTCAATAATGGCTATCTTCTTGCCACTTGTCCATAAAGGCCAGATTTGTGTATGACTGATAGTTGTCCTATCTATGAATTCTCCAGCTCATTGGCAGTACTTTGCAGCTCTTCCAGAGTCCTCTTGGGGCACTTGGTTGCCTTTCTAACCAGTGCTCTCCTTGTTCGATCTGTTAGTTTAGGCGTGTCTTTGTAAGTTTGCAGTGGTGCAGAATAATCATGCTCCGTGAGAGGTTCAAATCCTGGGAAATCTTGGTATTACTTAACGCTGCTTTAAACTTCTCCACAACTTTCTCCCTGACCTCTCTGGAGTGCCCCTCTGCCACATGTTGCTGTTTAGTGACCTATACACTCTGACCATAGCTCTGAGGCCCTCGCAGAACAGTAGTATTTATACTGAGGGTAGATTACACACCAGTGGCCTCTTTTTAATCATCAGGGCATGATGTGAACACTCAGCAGTCATTAGTAATGTTTTAAAGGTAATTTAATTACTCTGAAAAAAGCTGCATGAATACTTGTGCAGGCCCTACTTTTGTATGTTTAAAATAATAACAGAATCATGTTTCATTTTACTTTCACTTCACAGTTTGTTACTTGTGTGTGAACCTTCTGTTAAAATATAAAATACAATCTTTGTTTATGGTAATGAGCGCCACTGTATTTCTGCAGTAGATAAAAACATGATAATTGGATGTGCGGGTCTCGAGTCAGGTAAGGTATAGGCTTTTTTTTGTTTAAGTCTCCAGATTACGTCACACTCACAAGAGAAATCATTTTATCTTTCAATTGGACTTGACTGCAGATAGACTGTAGAACAATCACTGCTCATGTCATTAACCTATTAATGGGTTTCCATTTCTCTAAGTATTACTATAATGCTATTTGGAGTCTGTTTTGTGTGTCAGGCTGTCATGCTAAACACACTTGACTAAATTACATTTTGAATCCGATTTCATCATAATGTGCACATCATTCGTCTACTGTAAGAAAGTCTCAATCTCTGGTCCTTTTTTATAGGTCACTTTTGAGATGTGAAATTATTGCCTCATTTTTATTGTGTTGGGTTTGTAAAGTCCAAATAACACATGTGTAATCAATTTCCCTGATAACGCTTGACACGCTGACACACAAGATGGCGCCATTTGGCCTATAGCTGTGATATGATTAAAACCCATGTTCAATTCAGTTCATTATTGTTTAGCCCTAAATCACAACATGAGTCATCTCGGATTCCTTTATAATTTTGATTTTGAAACAGCGGATCAGAGAATCCAACAGTTCAAACTATAACAAACAAATGGGGGCCATTGGTCCATAGGGTAGTGGGAACACCAATGTCAATGTCACCAATGTAAATGTTAATAAACGTTAATAAAGGTCCAATAGATCCATCACTCAGATGGTAGGCCCAGGGCCGAGGCTGTAGGTCCAGGACTGAAGAGGCTCCCTGGTGGAGAGGGGGGTTCAGCCTATGAGCCTGGGCCTGGGGTGACCAGTTTATAGGCAGACGTTGAAGGAGCTGGGTTCAGAGGTCCCTTCATCATGCCATGAAACAGTTATAATGATGACAGATAAAGTAGGAGAGAGGAGAGGATGGTGCTCAAGTATAGTAATAATATGCACTACGCTATCATTATGTGTCCTGATAACTCTCTTTATCCAGTATTTCTCCTTGGCCATCTGCTGATCTGAACATAAGCCCTAACCTCAATCTGTAGATACTTAATAATATAATATCTTCTTCATATAACCTATTCTTGTAACTTCTTATATGCCTACTGTACAGTATTTCCCCAAAACCAAGCAGACTTGGAATTTCAGTTTACTTGTTAAATGGATCTATGGTGTACCTGCAGGTTTAAAATAACAACTTATTTGTGTTAATAAAGTATATCATGTTGTGCAATAAACATAAACAGTCAAGGACATCAGCTGTACACATCACTCTCCCCTAGTTCTAATTACAGTGGGCTTCTCTTCTTTCTTCTCTAAGCTCCTTTATTTTCTGTGAAATTAGTTTCTTGTTTTGTTATCAATTTATTTTGATTACTGTTCTGCAATGTATGCTGCAGCACTGACATTTCCGCACTGTGGGACACGCATGTCAATTATTGAAATAATTGATTAAAGAATTATGTATCAGACTGTTGTGATGAAGAGGGAGCGGAGTCAAAAGATAGGGCTCTTGATTTACCATTAAAATCTACGTCTTCTCCGTCTTGGGTAATGACTGGAAGGATAAGATTGTGGATACTTAAATGGTTTAACAAAGTATCTGGCTTTCCTTTTTGAATTGTTTCATTTAAGTCATAAAGACGAAATGTCGTGCAGATTCTTATGCATTATTCTTTTTTGCTACCACCAGAGGGCGGTGTTGAATTTCTTTTAATTATTTCAGAAAAACTGCTCCTGAATATGATTTCATTTTGTAAGATTCATCAGAGTTTGAGAATGGAGCATTTAGACAGTGCTTGTTTGTACCGGAAGGGCTTGACATTGGTGTGGATGGATCTAAAAACGACTCCAGGTGTGTTTTTTTGATTAGAGAACAAGGTTGTGGCATGGTCAAATGCTAAATAATAATCTAAATATTAACAAACTAAACACTGAAAACTTGAGACAACCTTGAAAAGATTATTTTTAATAATTGTTTTGTACATTTTGGCCTTATATTTGTCTATTGCACTTTTTTAATAATTGAGAAACTTGGAATGAAGTATTTGTGTGTTTGTGTGTTTTAATTCTTTCACACTTGGAGGCACACCATTTGACACCACCTGGCATGTGTTGGGTATGATTAAAATGTTCTGACTGTACCTGTCATTCAAGTTTGGGGACTTCTCACTTAATGTATTGTATTTTATGTTTGATTGATTAACCTTCCTTTGAGTTAAAATTGTATTCCTCTCTGTAGGAAATTGAAAAATCCTGATCTCCACAAGTGGTTCTGTATTGAGACGATCAGTGTTTGCTGTCCAAACGGAACTTTTGGTCCAGATTGCAATGGTATGTTCTTATATACTGCTTATCTTGACCACAACAAAAAGTCATATGCAGGGATATCACAAGTCTTGTTTCATTGAGCCTATAGAAATGTAAGACCATAACAAATTAAAACAAATAATGTAATGAAAGTGTTTTAAACGTCATGTTTCTGCTTTATATGTAGATTGATTTGACGCTTATTATGGCTGCCTAAACGCTCCTGGTTTTTTCCCCTCATCCACATGTACATATTGCTTAGGGCCCCCGCTGTTAAGCACAGCAGGGTTTTTTTCCACTCATAACAACACTGTGCAAAACATGGATTTATCTTCAACGTTGTCTTTTTTCCAGCCTGCGTTGGAGGCTCTGATAAGCCATGTCACGGGAATGGCCAGTGTGACGGGGATGGCACCCGAGGAGGGAATGGCAAATGCAGCTGTGACTCTGGATATGAAGGAGAGTTTTGCCTGGACTGTGTTGACGGATACTTTAATCAAGAGAAAAACGAAACCTTTTCTCTCTGCATGGGTATTGCATCATTTGCTTCTTGCAAATTAAACATATCAAAACAAACCAAGAGTTGTTTGTACAGTATGAACTCTTGTTTTCCTCCGGTAGAATGCCATTCATCCTGTAAAACGTGCAATGGACCATCTCACCAAGACTGCGATGAATGCAAGGATGGCTGGGAAGAAGACGACAATGAAGCGTGTGTTGGTAAGAAAGAAGTTGGTCATTTTAAATCACAAAGGAATAATTTGCGGTCCTAATGTTGACAAATGCTTCACAGATGTCAATGAGTGCACTAAAGAAGCCTCACCTTGCAAAGAGGACGAGCACTGCCTTAATACAGAAGGCTCTTTCTCCTGCAAAGGTTTGGAAACGTACAAATCCATGTGAAATACCGTATTTTCCGGATTATAAGCCACAACAGATTTTAAAACGCACCTCTCTCATGTTTTAGTAATGAAAAATGTAGCTCAAAACCTTGAATGAGTCACTGACCTTTGTTCTTAATATTCCAGTGTCAAGCTAAAAAACATTACTCTGTTCACGTTCATGTCAATAGAGGGAACCAAACATTTTATTTATTATAAGACATTCACACTAAGATATTATTGATGGTACTCGCTTCATTTGTCGCGTGGTTCTTAATCGAGATTTTATACTTGCTTCTTCTTAATGCTAAAGTTAAGCTCAGCTCAGATAATCCACTCAATCCAAGTCAAATAATGACTCACAGGGCTCTTTTTTTAAAATGCAAAAAAAGACAAATCAAAACAGTGTTCTGTTTGATTTGGTCACAACATTTTACTTTTGGGCACAACCAACATTATCATGTATCATTAAAGCTGCACTAACTGACTTTGGGATTTTGAAGCCGCGGACTCGCTGGCCTCTCTCTTTCTGCTCCCCTCCCCGCACCCACGAAGCTATCGCCCCCCACACACACCCACTGTTGTTGACGGAGCTAGCGTCTCCCAATATGGATAATACATGGATATGGATTTGCACGTGGATGGCGTGACCATAAAACGATAGAACCGGGAACCACGGAGGAATGGGACTTTATTTTGGATGGCTGTCTCGCTGTGTAAGCAGTAACCGGTGATGAAGACACGAAGCTTCAGGTTAGCTCCTCGTCTTGTTGTGCTAACTCAGCCGTCTATGCTAACGGACCTGTAGATTTCTCACGAAAGTGGGGGCCAGTGGTCCGTTGTGATTGGTCACAATCTGCGACCCGAAACACATTCTCTTCCTTGTTTCATCAAAACTCGATCTAAAATATAATGTCACGCCAGCACAAATCTGCGCTAATTATTCTTCAAAAGGACGTATATCCCAATGCACTACATGGACATGGATAGCATTTTTGTAATGAATACGAAAATAAAGTCAGTTAGTGCAGCTTTAATGCAAGGGAAAATGTAGGTACCACAGCTTTAATTTAGAGACACGGGGAGGACATGGACACTTCCTTAGGCTCCACAGTGCAGCTCTGTTTCTTGCAGCAAACAGCAGCAAGTGCTCCTCTCTGGCATTTCACCACGCCTCCCTAGGGAGGAGCGACCCACTATTTGAGAAGGACTAGTCTACGCAAAGGCGCTTAATAACTCAAGTGATAGTACGCATTTCTGATATTTGTCGCGCATGCGTACCACTTATGTGCACCCCTACTTGTAGTACGGAATTTACGGTAATCTGTGTGGTTGTGAAAATATAAGTCGATATGTAATTTATAAACACAAAAATGATTGCTGCTTTGGTCAATGCTGTGCAGGTTGCGACAAAGTGTGCGTGGGCTGCACTGGTCCGGGGCCTGGAAACTGCAAGACTTGTGCGAGTGGGTACCAGTTAATAGACGGCAACTGCACTGGTATGTACGCAATTTTAGAAACGAATTGCCGTTGTGAGGCTTCATACATAATGAAATGGATTTGTTACATGTGTACAGACGTGGATGAGTGTTCCCAGCAGGAGCCGGTGTGCACCAAGGAGCATCAGGACTGTGTTAATACCAAAGGCAGTTTTGTGTGCATCTGTGCATATGGGTTTGAAGAGGAAGGAGGAGAATGTGTCCAAAAGCCACAACCAGGTGAGGGCTGGATGTAAATGACATATTTGTACATTAGGCTTGATATAACTGGTTCGATGTTTATGCAATTTTACATTCACAAAAGTCTTGAGACGGTTCTATTTCTATTTCCAGAAGAAAAATCTGTAGACGGTACAACAGAACCTACTGAGACATCGCAACACACGGAGCTTTGACGATTGGGACAAAAGTTTATGGCTCCTCATTTTAAATTTGACTTCAGCACTTCTCCATATTCTGTGCATTCTGACAGAAAACGGCAGGCTTTTTAATCTCTTTGGGAATGTGGTTTAATGTGCATTGAGTTGTTTTATGCTGGTGTCACATTTTTGCTTTCCAATTTCTCACAACTTTGTATTTTGAAGACCCGGAAAAGAATGGCAATAAACGTTTATTGTGAATTTAAACTAATTACTTAGCCTTGTGTGTTAATGTTGGTAATTTTCGTAAAAAAATCAAACGCTTAACCACCAGATGGCAGTACAAGCTCATAATAGTGGTAGTGCATTATAAAAATTGGTTTCAAATCTTGCCTAATGCTTCTCTCAATGTCACACATGTATTTATAATACAATGTATGCAATGACTAATGTCAACACACAAATATTTAAATTCATGACTTATCTATCCCTGCAAGGCATTATTTTTTTAATTATTTACCACAATCTCCTTGAAGCTGTTAATTAAGTCATCTTTCCTGAAAGACACATATAGCTGGATATTTCTGAAGTAATATGAATAGTTAGTAATATGAATGCACAAGCAGTATTTTTAAGGAAAGTTCCAGAACTTTGTACTAAAGATTGTGTTATTCAGGACCCTTCTCTAGTCCTTATTCAAAGCAAAGCGTATATTTTTAATCAAAAATTTTTTTTTTTTTCAGACAACTTAAACTTTGTTATCTGCTGTTAAGATTTGATACGACTCTGGGTGGAGGTGACTGTCAGTCCAGACATGCCTTAGCTTTTGGTTTTTATCACATTTCTTATTAAAAAAATTGTTTTTCCTTTTATCCGATTCATTATTACTGGTATTGCCAACGCTCATATCAATCACGAGTGCCTGAAAGAAGAACAATGTTTATGCTTCATGGAGGCCTTTGGTGTGGCTGAACCTAATCCATTCTGGGAACATACAGACGTGGCTGCTTTGTGTGTCTGCACGTGCACTTTTGCCCTGTGCATCTGGACCTGTGGTTTACTCTAGGGGGCACCGCACTCTTTCAGCTTCACTTTGTTGTGCCAGTAAAAAGTCAGCTGTGAAGCAAATGAACGTTCTCATGGATTATTCTGAGGACATGGAGTGCAAAGAGATGCACTGATTTTTGATATAGCTTCATTGTGACCTTAAATGGCAGACATGCCAAACTCAGGCTCATGGGTCAAATCCGACCCGCAAGACCATTCTTTAGTGGCCCCTTAAATGATTTTATGTTATTAACATGCAGCATAGATGGCGATGGGCTGCCAAGGAAAGTTATACATCATCTATTTTCTCAGGAAAAATAACTAAATGAAATGTTTTCTAAAAAGTTTACTTGACACGTCATTCGAAGTTACATAGTTTTATATTTATAAAGGCGACAGTAGCTCAGTTGGTTAAGCTTTGGCCTTTGAGCCAGAAAGTCGTGGGTTTGAGCGACTCCCTCTCTCTGCTGTCGTTGTGTCCTTGGCAAGACACTTAACCTCTGGGAACACCAGGTGCCACAGTGGGGCGGCTGCGGCTGTAAAGTGCCAAACTGCTGTTGTGTCCTTAGGCAAGACACTTCACCCCCATTGCCCAGAATAAGTCTGGTGCGTGTGTGAATGATTGGTGGTGTTCGGAGGGGCCGATGGCACATATTGGTTGCCTCGCTTCTGTCAGTGTGCCCCAGGGCAGCTGTGGCTACAGTAGTTGTTTATCACCACTGTGTTTGGAGTGAAAGAATAATGACACATGTGAAGTGTCTTTGAGTGTTGTGTTGTTGTATAATTTAAAAAACAATTATATGAAAAGGAAATCCCTTTTCTTTCATCCCTCCGCCACTGACTTATGGAATTATCTTGACTGGAATGTAATCATCAACCATCTTGTAAGAAACGCCGAAACAAACAGTAACTAACCTCCAGCATTAATGTTATCAAATAGGTCAGATCTAATCGTGCAAAACACTTCCTTCTTCCCTGAGTATCCTATTGACTTTGCCTCTCTCACACACACAAACACAGAGGTTCTGGCTTCTCCAATTTTATAGTGTTTATTTGAGCTGGTCAGGGCGCCCTACCCTCTCACTGTTAAATTGTTACCCTGTCTCTTCCTCCTCTTCACTCACTGACAGTCAAATCTCCCAGCTCCTTTTCCCCCCATCTCTTTCCACAACAGTTCTTTGTTCCATTGTGGAGCCGAGATAATCACAGTGCCAGAGTTAAACACAGAAGGAGGAAAATGCATTTTAAAGAGCAAGAAGCCAGATGTGGCACCATGCGCTTTTGTTGAGCTGTCAGTGTTGTGCGCAACCCAAAGATGTCTTCAGGCTGTTCTGATGTGGCTGACTCTCCCCGTCCAACCAGCACGTGTTGAACATGTGAAGAAACGGAAGAAACGGTACTGTTACGAAAAATCTCCTTTGTTCTTATTATTGCTCTTTTTGGTTGACCTTTGGTTGTAGCATGCAGAAACTTCTTGCTGCACTAAAGTATTGTGAGGTGTGCAACAGAGGTATTTTGTCAATATTTTGATTTAAATTATCAACTGAAAGGTGGGGTCCTGTGTCACTGAATAAATGTTCTGCAATTACTTTCCTTCAAGGGTCACCATGAAGATGTAAACTTGGTCCTTAAGCCGCTCTTGGTCAACCCTAGTCTGGGCCTTTCCTCCCACATATAAAGTATATACACTTAAAATAACCTTACTCTCAGTTTCACATGAGTGAGTTTTTAATCTGAATTACATTTTTCTTTTTCGAGTTCAATACATAAATTAGATTAACATACTAAAACTTGTACACGCCCATCCCTGTAAAGTCTCATTGAAGTTTCATATGTTACGGCCTATGTAAAATGGAAATACAAAAAATGCCTCGTATGAACTTTGCTCTTGCTAACTAAACTGTTTTTGTGCACTCCTGCTTAGTTGGAATGAAAACCTGCAGCCAAACTGGCCATTTGAGGACACTGTTACGGAGAGTGAGGTGCATAACAATGTCAAGTGATTAGGAGCCAAACTTCGCCGTGAGCACTTTTTTATTGGGTTCATATAGCAATCTTTCTACTGTCACTGGTCATGACAACATTTTTGACCTCATCCAAAAAACACACTGTTCTCCATTGTTCACTTGGCACCTGCAGGAATAAAAAGCGCCTCGTACGGCTTACTTCAAAGGCATTTTCCACTAGCACACAGTTGGACACCACTTCAAAGCATTTTTTTACCCCACAGAATCCATCTCTTTGTCTACTTTTCCAAAAAAAAAAAAAAACGGGCGGGTTGTTGTTATGAGTCTGTTGCCATGGGTGATGTGGCTGTGTTGACAGTGGAGATTGTAAACATACTTGGAGAAGGTAGAGGTCCTCTGAGGTTCTAGACGGACAGCTCACACAGGCAGCACAAGGGGTATTTGTTCACAAGCTGGAGCCAAAAAATGACCTGGTTCTAGGCGTCTGAGAGTAACGGCAGTTTCTAACTGACTGTGTGTTTAGATCTGCATTGTCTGGTTATTAGTCATAACTTTCTGTATGCGCCTGTGACACTTGGGTATAGTATTGTGGGTAAGTAAGGAATACATTTTGATAGTACACACAAAGAGTGTTCATAATTTATGTTGATTTATTGATATTATAACTTAATAACAATTTATCATAAACAATCCCTATGTTTCACTTTTGATGCTTTAAGAGTGCTGCTAAACTAATTTTTAGATGACAATACATGCAAAAAGAAGTAATCGAACCAAACTGAAATAGAGATTTTAGATTTTATAAAGATTTTATAACATATTATTTGTGTTTTGAAATATAGACATGAATTACATTAATTCATAAAAGTCATTCATGTCTCATGAAGGGTCTCAGCCCAAAACATCACTATTTTGGTCTGTAATTAAAAGACACTTAGGAGCTACAAAGTTGTGCATATTTTTCTTTATTTTACATATCGCTATAGAGGTACACCAGCTTTAAGGAACTGTATCAGTTAAATGATAAATAGTACCCACCCCCGTGCTCATAGCTCAAACATGTTCCATCCCCTGGCCGGATCTACTATTCCTCCTTTTCTCACTCTGGGACATTGTTTTTCTAGGCAACAGTCATTCTGGGTAACAGATCTAAAGGAAAAATACAAACAAAAGGAAACTATAATCTCAAAATTAATTCAAAATCCTTCCACTTAACCTTATCCTTTTCCTGATAGTAAGCAGATTTCTGTGGGTTCAATTGCACCAAGGCAAAACAAGCTCACATTTTCCTCGTTTCCTCCGTGTAATCCCTCTTTTATTGGCTGCTTCGGTGCGTTATGTCGCAGAGTAATTTGCAAGGACACCAACCTTCATCTGAACCTTCAAAGCCACGGAACCACATGAAAGCAGCAGCAGCACACATCACCACCATTTTGTACATATTAGAAGTGAGTGGACATGAAGCAGGGCTGGCCTTCCCTGTCTGACTGCATGATGCTTATTTCCTGTTGGTGAAATCAGTTCAGACAGGTGGCACTCATCAAACAATGGTCACTGGAGGGACAAGAGATAAGCCAGGTTTGACCACAGCGCTGACGCATTACAGGATACAGAAAGCAAAATGTTGATGTTGATTTAAAAAGAGATGGTATGGAGACTAGTTTACAGTCTAAAGTATAAAAAGTATAAACATGTAAAGTGTAAACGTAAACGTATAGACTACTAGTGCAAATAATTATATGCATATGTGTATAAAGTAAAATAAATGATGAATATTTAGTTTTAAGAATGAAAGTATTAATCTATAAATGTATCTCTAATACACAGAAAAGTGAAGTAGTAAGTCACTAGCTCTGTGGGTTCAAGTATCCACAGTGATAATACATGTTAGCAGCATGAGGAGGCTTAAAGTGACAATGGACGCATGTGGTCCTGTATTGCACGAGCTAACATTATTGCACAGATTCATGACATGTTCATCAGTCTTCATTGTACATTGTACAGTCTGACTACAGCAGGGAG